ACCGACCGGCGGGCCAGGGAGAGGAATAGGCGCGCACGCGCGTCCGTCTCGTGTCCGCGCCAATTCAAATCCGGCTCAAAATTGGGTCAGGAATAGGTCGCCCGCGGATAAAAACAGACGCACATCCATTTAGGTCGACGCGTTGGGTCGCTACTTTTATCCGCACCGACCCAAACAAACACGGCCGGACGAAATGGGTCGCTCCATTGAAGTTGCTTTAAAAGAACAAAAAATGCAGTTTCTTCAAATTTGTTGGCGGCGCCAAAACGGTGATGGAGCACACGCATGGGATCTCCTATTCCGTGCGTAGGTTTTTTTTTTCTGAGAAACAATACGTGTGTAGGTTTTCTTTTTCGAGAAACATTCCGTGCATAGGTATCTGAAAACTTAGCGCGTGCCCCCTCACGCGTTAGTTTTTGTGTATGGGCCCGCCCATTTCAGAATTCGTTTTATAGTCGGAACATCCTTTGTTTTTACGAACATGTTTTGAGTTCATGGTTTTTTAAACAACATACATTTTTTAAATTTCGTGACATTTCTTTAAAATTTGGGGACAAATTTTGAAATTCCTGAACATTTTTTTAATGGTAAGCACATTTTCCAAAAAAATATGAACATTCTTTGAATAAGAGAACATATTTTTAAATCATGAATATTTTTTATTCAGTGATAATTTCCCGAACATTATTTATATCATAAATATTTTTTAATTCACTAATTATTTTTTAAATAGAAAAAGGGAAACATTACACATCACCCGGTGGATAATCACGTTTGCGTCCGGCCCCTCGGTTGCTTGCCACGCGTCCCCTGTGGACCGCACCAGCACATTCTTTGCAACAGCCATGGCTCGTACCTTATCAGACATGCCAAAATGTATACAAGGACAGCGGATAGGGGACATCCAGCCAATTCGGTGCACCAAAGTTAGCTCTAGTTCAAACGGACAATTCAAAAAGGCGAACGAAGTAGAAATAAACCAGATGATATTTGTTAATTTTTGATATATTTACAATCCAAAGGATGGAATTTAACAAAGTTCAACTAAAACTAAACTAAACTAAACGAGGTACCATCGGGTGACCTCATAGGCATGGACTCCGAGGCCACTGACACCTCTGTTGTCGTCGCCGCTGTTGTCGTCCTTCAAGCGGCGAAAGGCCTCCTAGGGGTTGTGACATCCCTGATTGGTCGCCACCACTACGTGCTAGCGGCGCAGACGCTCGGTCGTGTCCTCATGGCAGTGACACTCTGCCACATGCCCTTGCTAGCCGACTCGATTTTGTAGGGCTGGTCACAGTTCATGCGCCGACACTAGCCAGACGACCAGGCGGTGGTCTTGGATCGCTCCTCGGCTCAGGCCAAAATGAGGTCCGGTTCACCGTGCACCCCGCTTGGCACCACGCTAAACGTTTCGAATGCCGCCCAGCGCACCTGCTTGGCCGCCGTCATGGGGTGCAACCCCTGTGAGGTGGAGGTGCTGCTGCCACGCCCGACGGAGTATAGGAGGTGGTTGCGCGCATGTTGGGGAATGTAGTGTACAAAATAACTTTTCCAGTAACATACAAGCTCAGGATCACTATGTAGATGCAAATGGTAGATCAAGTCTTTACTGAAAGTGCGTTATATCGACTAGAGAGGGGGGGGTGAACAGGTGATTCTTATGAAATTTTTCACTGAGGAATTTGCCGGTGAGGAAATTCCTTAGCGAAGAACTACTAGCAGCGGAATAAGTACTCAACAGTAAACATAACAGAATACAAGCATAGTCATCATGATGAAATGAAGACAGGCACATAGTACAGAAAGCGTAAGCACAGGATAACACAGGATGAAGACAAACAGACTGAAGAAATTGAACTAAGGAAATTGAGAAAGTCTTCAGTCAAAGTCTTCAAACACAGATATGAACAAGCACACAATACAGTTATGAGGAAATGGAAGAGTTGAGGAAATAGAACCGGTAAGCTTGGTGAAGACAATGATTTGGTAGACCAGTTCCAACTGTTGTCTCAGTTGTACGTCTGGTTGGAGCGGTTGAGTATTTAAACTCGAGGACACACAGTCCCGGACACCCAGTCCTGAACACGCAGTTCAGGACACCCAGTCCTCACCGTATTCTCCTTGAACTAAGGTCACACAGACCTCGTCCAATCACTCGTGGTAAGTCTTCAGGCGACTTCCAAACCTTCACAAACTCGGTCACTCAGCGATCCACAATTCCTCTTGGATGCTCTAGACCATGACGCCTAACCGTCTGGAAGAAGCATAGTCTTCAAAGGTAACAAGCGTCGGATCCACGCAGGATCAATCTCTTCAGTGATGCTTAATCACTTGGGGTTTGTAGGTGTTTGGGTTTTGGGTTTTTCCTCACTTGATGATTTTCGCTCAAAGTCCTCAGAGGATGAGTTGCTCTCAAATGACAAGTGTCAGTTTTTCTCGGAGCAGTCAACCAACAAGTGGTTGTGGGGGGCGGCTATTTATAGCCTAGGGAGCAGCCCGATATGATAAGACATAAATGCCCTTCAATGATATGACCGTTAGGTGGATAGATATTTTGTGACATCTGGCGCATAGCACAACAACGATCGGAATTTTGAGTAGCAAAATCCTCAGGGCTATCATGTTCCTCACTGTGTAGGCAATCTGCACTGGCGAATTCCTAACTCCTCAGTTAGGACAAATTCCTCAGAGACCAGAAGAACTGCGTCTCTGTCACTAAAGAAATTGACTGAACTGTATGAGATTTCCAATGACTTCACTCGAAGGGATTAATAGGTGTAGGATTTTGAGTTGAGCATCACGTGGAAATTTTTCTTAGTATTTCCTTGACCCCCTTTAATAGTACGGTGTTTCCTATGACTCAAGAAAGAAAAAATGAAACTACGAAAACAAAAGTCTTCACGCTTCATGTTCCTCGAACGAATACCAAGTCTTCAAGGTCACACCAATTTCTTCACTTTCGAAGTCTTCAGAAAGTCTTCAGTGATCCAAAGTCTTCAGTCGAAGAACTTCATTTTTAGGGGTCGACTTTCTCTGTAAATATCAAGCTTCTCATAGACTTATAGACCTGTGTACACTCACAAACACATTAGTCCCTTAATCTATAAGTCTTCAATACACCAAAATCACTAAGGGGCACTAGATGCACTTACATTTACCAACACAAACACAACGGAGAAGAAGATGTTGGTGAAGACATGCATATTTCCGCAGGTAGGTTAAACCTCTCAGCCATGAGTATTTCTTTGGATCCAGGATCAAACGTATGGGCTCTCTGCGGAATCCATGTTCCTTGTCAGCGGTTCAGCAACACTTTAGCGTCCAAGACGAAGAGCAACTAGAGAACAAGAGAGAGATGGAGCAGCCTAACACAATGGAGAAAATGTAGAGAGAGAGAGAGGTTTGGAAGTTTGTTCATCTCCTTTATGTATAATGGCCAAGGAAGGCCATGGCTTGGGGGAGGGGCACCCTATCCCTAGGGCCGGTGCACAAAGAAGGGATGGCGCCCCTCCCAGCCCTAGCCGCCCCACCTAGTTGGCCCCAAGAGGAAAGGCCACGGCTTGGAGTAGGACACATGAGTGTTTTACTTGCGGAGGCCAAGAACACATGAGGCGTGATTGCCCTAATACAAAAAGGGTGATGCTCACACAGGATGGATATGTGTCTGCTAGTGATGAGGACAAGGCTGTTAATCCATCGAGTGAGGAGTCTGAGGAACTTGAACAAGTGGATGTGTATCCCGAGAATGCTGCTCCTAATTGCACTAACTTGATGGTAAACCGTGTGTCCGCAGATCGCATAGAGGGACAAGGGCAACGCTGGAATATTCTTCGGACCCAATGCACAGTCGAAGACACTACATGCAAGTTGATTATTGATGGTGGCAGCTACACCAACATTATCAGCAAGAGTTTGGTGGATTTTCTCTTGTTGCCTACATGGAAACACTCGTAACTACATTGAGTTCAGTGGTTGTATAATTTTGAGAAGCTGAAGGTAACACATAAGTTGCGCCTGAAAATTTATGTAGGTACTTATGATGACATGGTGGTCTGTGATGTTTTGCCTATGGATGCATGTCATGTCCTGCTAGGCCGACCGTGGCAATTTGATAGGCGTTCCACTTATGAAGGCAGATCCAATGTTTATTCCTTGTGGCATAAGGGGAAGCGTCATGTGCCGCAGCCTATGCTTGACAAGGATATCAATGTGGATGCGTTTACTATGAAGACGAAGGTCCAACACATCAAGGAGAAACCAAGGACGGTTACCTGTCAAGTTGGGGGTGATGAGGGGAGGATATCTATTACTCCTGTTATTTCACCACATCCTGATATTCTGAAGTTTGGATCCTTTTTATTTGTAGTTCCTCCTACGGATGAGGTGAAGCCTAATTTTAGAACACCACCAATGTGTTTCGGCATGTCGAAATAGGAGTGGCTCAGAATAATTGGTTATCCAGTTTTGGTTTAATTTATTAGGCTGAACATTGCTTTATATCCAGGCCATGTCATGGGTCATAGAGTTTTATTTTAAATTGTGTTATTTTAACTCGGTTGGGCCTATCCAATCTGAATAGTTTTCGATTTAGGGCTTACCTATATAAGCTGACAGCCGGCCATTTGTAATAGGGAGTTGAATTTTCGAGTTAAGAATAGACAGGAAAAATGTCCCAAGTCGGGGACGTCAATATATGTCGCTTGTTTTGCTTGCTGATTCGTAAGAATCTGTTCTGTTGTCTGTGGAGTAGATCTAATCTGCTCAACAATCAAATTATCTACTGATTATACCGTTCGCCGTGAAAGATTGGGCCAAAAACCTTAGGATCTCTCTACTTGATCCTTATCAGGCAGGGCAGAAAATCTAATTTTCTGCACGGATTACTGGACTAATATTCTTTTGTGATCAGGCATGTAAAAACTATAGCATACCTGTCTTTTTTTTCTTTTGTGATCGGGCATGTAGTCCGGTCCTGCTGTGATCTAGCGCTCATATGATTCAGCGGCATATGGATCGAACTTCGTTTGAATTTCAAATTGTCATTTACTAATGGCCATATACATGGTGTCGAAGCAAATTTATGTCAGCGTTGGAGATGCCCTAGTGACTTTCAAGGGAAAATATCATACGGAAATCAATATTAAATGAAAACTTCGTGGAAACTATATTTTAAAGTTTCAAAAAAAAATTGAAAAAAATATGGGATGTTAAGGAAGTGATGTTTTATTGCTACACAAAATTTCAAGTTGAAATACATTACGAGATGTGAGCTATGAAAAGACAAATTTAGCATTGAATACTGGCATTACTATTCGGCACTATTCAACGCTGGTTTTGTCTTTTTCATAGCTCACATCTCGTAATGTGTTTCAACTTGAAATTTTGTGTGGCAATAAAACATTACCTCTTAACATCCCGTATTTTTATTTTTTTTTAACTTCAAAATATCTTTTTTTTCGTGGTTTTTACCAGTTTTCATCAAGTGTTGGTTTCCGTATGATATTCTCCTGACTTTCAATTAGAATCCTCTAAGCATCCTAGAAAATTCTCAAGGATGAGAGAGAGAGAGGGGCTATCCGATCGAGCAACACGTACGAATTCCAGAGAATTCTCATATCCTACCCGGTACAATTCGTCCGTCCCTGTCCCTTTCGTTCCTTCTTCAAGGGGTTTACGTGTGCAGACACGACGCACCTCCGGGCCATTCCAGACGCGCGCCATCGCTTTGGCGACGACGGCACCACTGCCTATAACTAAGCTCTCTCGCCAGGCCTACTCTGGAGAGGCATCGTCGCCGGACGAGCTGTATTCTCTCATGCTCTCGCTCAGGTTGTCTACTAGTGGCACCAGCACAGGACTCGGCCGGTTCGCCGCCGCGAGGTTGGCGGCCGCAGCTCGTGGAGGGAGGAGCGTGTCCGCCGCGCCCGGCATGGAGCACCCACGCGACGACACGCACAACACCAAAGAGTATATTGCTTGGTTGATCACGTACGGCTAATTTTCCCTTGCAAATTGCATGCCGTTTTATTGGGTTGGCTGGTTGGTCCGTGTAGGGACGTGACGAGCCACCCGTTCGGGGTGGCCTACTCCACGAGGTCGGACGAGGAAGGCTTCGGCGGGGTGTACGCGAGGGACGACGACCGGCCGGCGTTCAGCCGTCCAACTGCCGAGGCGCATCCGACCCATCCTCCTGGTACTTTTTATTTTTTTGTTATGAATGATGGAAGTTATAACTGTTTGTTTTGCCTAACAATAATTGAGTTGTGTTTTTTCTGCAGACCATGATACCTCGCAGGTGAAGGCGGAGAAGGCGCGCCATCTCAAGGACGACAAGCACGCCACCTAGCTTTCTAGCTTCTCGCCGTCTCATAATAATAATATACGAGCGTTTAGCAGTAATACAAAACGTCTTATATTTTTTTTTACAGAGGTAGTACATGCCTCATCGCAGTTCACAGGCAAAAAAAAGTAAAGCTTCATCGCAGTAGCTAGTTTGAAGTTTGCCATCAGGTGGCTCGAACTGCTTCTGAGGTTTGCAGCGACCGATACAAAGCCGTGTTTTCAGGAGTTTATATCTGCGTGTTGTAATAATCATGTAAAATACCAAGGAATGCTTCCGTGCCCTACTAGCTAAGTTATGTGTGCACCTAGCATGAGCTGTAAAATTAAGAGATGGGCTGTAAAGTTATAGTGCTCTGTGGGCGTGGGAGCTAGTAGAATTCTTCTTTGGGCTGGTTTAGTAAGTCGGTTGTAGTGAGTCTTACCTAACGGACTCGAGTCTCCTTGTAAAAAAGAGCATGTTATCGGAAGCTTATATTGTGAGCTTGAGCTCACATGATCTAAGATGAACAGTAAAATCTAAGTTATACACCCTTTGTCCCATAGTAAATGACTCAACTTTGTACTAAAGTTAGTTCAAAGTTGCATTAAGGTTAAGACACTTATTTTAGGACGAGGAAGTAGTAAAAAAAATCTAAAACATGTGTGTAGACATTATTTTTGCATGTGTCTTTTCCGGCCACATGTCATCAGATGGTCAGCCATCAATTGCCGTGAATAATTGACAAAGCAACATCTTAAAAATAAAATAAAATAAAGGAACAATATAAAGAAAGATAGGGAGAAAAAGGTAAAAGGCGTGTGTCAGCTGCTCTGCTCAATGGGCCATCATAGTACAAACAAGATGCTGCCCACGCGCGTGGATGCGGGAATCTTGCTAAGAGAAATGCGCAAATAGTTGCTACAAGAGCATAAAAAACTAATGAAAAGAGAAATGTAATCTATAGGGTATAGAAAATCGATTTGCAACTGAAAATGTTATTTCTAACCGAAATATGAAGGGCCAAATATACGTATAGTGCTCCTTTTCTCCCTCTCTCAAAGTTACTTTTCCTTTTTTTAAACCCCCTCCCATATATTAATTAATTTAAAACATTCATACAATCATCCATTATAACTTTAGCCCCATGCAGGGCGGAACACTATTAAGAAGCACACCGTCGGGCCTATTTTCGAAACTAAACTTCGCAATTTGGTGCGCCACCCAATTGACCCTTCTGTTAATCTTGAATATCTTGCAATTTATCATCCTCTTGGAAATACTCAACGCTTCCATCTTTAGATCAACTAGGGAAGACATGTCTCGAAAATCATTTCCAAAAGAAGATGCCACAAAAGAACAATCAGTTTCTAAAATGATGGGCTTGTGGAGAGTAGTACCGATCTACAACCCTGCTAGGGTCGCTCTCAGTTCTTCTTCATCCATGCTATTGCACACCTCAATATAATCCCACGACGAAATGATAACCTCTCCAGCATAGTTCCTGGCCACCACACCCACACTCGCTACACTCATGGCCTTCACATAACTTGCATCAATATTAATCTTAATGAACTCCCTAGCAGGAGGTTGCCAAGCCACAAAATTCTCATGCACATCATTAGTAAAAGTTAAACCATCCGCCCTCTCCTTATCTTTGTTGCTAATCTCAATCTTCACATTGGAATGACAGGATGAGAAGGATGCCCAATAGTTTCGAATAAAACTCACAAAGGCAGAGATAGTTTCCTTTCCCTTACCAAAGATCAAATCATTCCTCAGGTGCCATGCCCCCCAAAACATGAATATAACTAGTGGTTGGGGTGCACCCTTGGTGCGCCTCTTGAGAGGAAGCTAGGGCGATGTCAGGTTAGGTTCGCCTTTTTCACTTTCCTACCTATACTAAGTAGTGATATTTGATTAGAATAAGAGCAGTGCAGATAAAACACATTCAGAGAATGGACTGAAGTAATGAACCTTTCAGTTATATTGATGCATCATGTGAGAAGTTTCCTTTTTTGATCTAGATAAAGCATACATGCAATTCTTGATAAACTTACTATATTGATGCATCATGTGAGAAAGAAACTAAAATGGCATCACAGGCAACACACAACAATATAATGCCATCGACAGAAGCATCTTGCTGCATGGCAACATAAGATACAACAATAGAAATTGTTGCATGTTACGACCCGACGGCGGCAGTGTGCCTTTGATGCCTCCCTCTAACCGTGCGACGAGTCTGAGAGGAGCATGCTCACCTCATCTTTGTGTGCTTCATAAAAATATGTACATTCATATAGGTCATCGCGGACGGCAATGACACTTCGGGACACGCCGTCGATGAAGACATCAGAGATGTTGAGCTTGGTCTGGAGGTCCCTGATTGCAGCCTTGGTCCTCTCAATGGTGAACGGCCCCACATCATTGGCATCCTGGGTCCTCAGCTGCAAGCACTTCTCGTAGGACAGTCGGACGCGCTGCCCTGCCTACAAATGCACTCCAATTCATATCTTTGGCTTGAATTAAACACACGCAGTACCCAAGAGAACCATTTGATAAAATGATAATTAACAAAAATAGGATGGTGCCTTTAGGTGTATTTGACAACTAATAATAAGGAATTTTAAGTAGAAGTACTCGGTAACAAGCCATCGGCAGCTATGAAGTAATGCTAGAACTGTCACTGCCATATAAAAAGGATCAGGTGTATTTCCAATAAGAATTCACTTCTATTTCATTTGTCAAGAAGTCGAACTGAAGATGGGAATACCTCTTATATTGCATATTTCTTCACCAAAGTGTTGTAACATGCAATGCACGCAAGACGTAGTTGATCTCCTTACACCAAAAAGTTCAGCAAATCAGTTTGCAAACAAAAAATCTGAGATAAAGTTCCAAGTAATATGGTATAACCTTTTCTTAATTAACACAAGAATAGAAAAAATGGATATTTTCATGAACCACGGCAGAAGAGAAAGCCTAAAATGTTTTATTCAAACTAATGACCCAAAGTACTGAAGTAACCTCTAAAATTCTTCTTGCACAACTAAATTGCCATATCTTTTAACCGCACAAAGAACAATGACAGTACCGACTATACCTTGCCTACAATATGTTATCAAATATGGCTAGGACCATACATAATTACCAATATTAAAATCTTGGAGTGGTCACTGCCATGATATTTGTTGCACAACACATAACTGATTTAAATCTCATCATTTGAGGGAAAACAATTGATAGTATATATGAAATATTAAAACTACATAGTTGATTTATCTACAAAAGTTGTATATAAAACATTCAGAATGATAATAATACAAGGTTGTCAGAATCGTGATTCTGAATCGAATCGGAGCTCCGATGGTAGGATCGCAAATCGTAGAATCTTCACTATCAGGATCGTAGAAACGTAGATTCTAGAGACTAAAGTCGTAGAATCGGAAGGGTTAGTTTGGATCATAAAGTCGTAGAATCGTACAATAGAATTGCGATTCTGACAACCTTGTAATAGTTGTTGATCTAAAACTTAATTGGGAAACACAAACATGGTAATGCTAGGTAGTACCTTTGAAATGCATAGAGGAGTATTCAAGATGTGATGGCACTCATCATCAAATGGATCTATAAATGCATCATGGATGACTAACCTCGCTCTTCTTGTTTAATGAGACAGAAGTTCAGATTCTGAAACTGCATGGGCACTTGTTTAATTCAGTGCAAGAAAAAAGTCACAATCCATTTAGCAAAAGCCAATCAGAGGTAGTACACCTTGTCTATCTGAAAGGATCAAGAAGAGGTGTCTAGAGGGGCGCGATTAGACCCTCAACAAAGAAAAGTAGCAGTTTTTAAGTTCTTCAAGTTAAGGTGTAGTTTTAGCACAAGTTAAACATTCACAATACATTTCACGCAAGCATGGCAAGAGTATATGAACAACGGAAAGTAAAGCATGCAAGTTGCAAGAAAGTAAAGGGATGTGATTGTAATGTGCAAATGCAATTGGAGACACGAGATTGTTGGCGTGGTTTCGATAGGTGGTGCTATCGTACATCCACTTTGATGGAGACTTCAACCCATGAAGGGTAACGGTTGCGTGAGTCCACGGAGGGCTCCACCCACGATGGGTCCATGAAGAAGCAACCTTGTCTATCCCACCATGGCCATCGCCCACAAGGACTTGCCTCACTTGGGTAGATCTTCACGAAGTAGGCGATCTCCTTGCCCTTACAAACTCCTTGGTTCAACTCCACAATCTTGACGGAGGCTCCCAAGTGACACCTAACCAATCTAGGAGACACCACTCTCCAAAAGGTAATAGATGGTGTGTTGATGATGAACTCCTTGCTCTTGTGCTTCAAATGATAGTCTCCCCAACACTCAACTCTCTCTCACACAGATTTGGCTATGGTGGAAAGATGATTTGAGTGGAAAGAAACTTGGAGAAGGTTAGAGATCAAGATTCTTGTTGTTGGATTGGAATGTCTTGGACTCAACACATGAGTAGGTAGTTCTTTCTCTCAGAAAAAGAATGCTGGAAGTGTAGGCACGTTCTGATGGCTCTCTCTCAAATGGAGAGAAGGGTGGAGGGGTATATATAGCCTCCACACAAAATCTAACCGTTACACACAAAAGAGCCAACTCGGTTAGACCGAATGTATGAACTCGGTGAGACCAATTCAGTTCAAAATGTGAACGTTAAGATTTTCGGTGGGACCGATATGATCAACTCAGTGGGACCGATGTGCTAGGGTTATGGTAAATACTCATCTTGATTTGACCAATTACTCAAACTCGGTGAGACCGATTTTGGTAATAAGCCAATAGAGAGTTGGTCAAGCAAACTCAGTGGGACCGACTGCGTATCTCGGTGGGACCGAAATAATTGCGACATGCAACAGAGAGTTTGAAAGCCTATCTCGGTGAGACCGAGATCCCATCGGTGAGACCGAACTGATTGGGTTTCTGGCAGTGGCTATGTCAAGTAAACTCAGTGGCGCCGGGTGAATCAAATCGGTGAGGCC